GGGGCAGAAACATAAAATTTAGAACCACATATGTTTGTCAGCCAACAGCATCTACAGGACCTTCTGTGAAATCAGACGTGTGGTTTGAATGGCGTGTGAACACCTTCTGACGTCCTTTTTGGGTCTGTAGAATAGCCTCCTGCCGTACCCGGGACTGTCAGTGCTGAGAGGGATCTGCTTTTCTGTGTGCACCGAAACCCACATCGCTGGCAGTTTCTCCACACCTGCTGCAGGGCGTCTTGTAGCTCTTGAGCCTTGGGGCTTTCCATGGACTGACTCGTCTGCAATTTGGGGGGCTTTCTTTCCCTTAGGCCAGGGGTGCTCACACTGTCTGCGTGTGAGCTACTTATAAAATGATCAAGTCAAAATGATCTACCATCTACAAAAATGCAAAACATTTATTTATTTTTATTTATTACATTTATTCATAAATGCATTGAGGCTTCTTTATATGTACAGTGCATGTTTATGTACGTTGCATAACTGCATGAGTCCATATTGCACAACACAACACAATTAACTATGAACATTTTTTGTTATTACTTGAGTTTACTCTGATGACTTGCACTGAACGGAATGAGCCAGGGATGCACAGTCCGGACAGTAGCTGCTGACGGCCGGCCTCAAGCACGCTTCCAAATGATCATCAGTCATGGCGGAACAGTACTTGGACTTAATGATCTTTATGTGGGAAAAGGCTGACTCACATAGATAAGTAGAGCTGTATCATGCAGTCAGGGAGGTAGCACATTTTCTCATGTTTGGGTACTTTCCCTCTGAGAGTAAGTTCCAGAACTGATCATGTGCTCTGGACTTCAGCTGAATGTCGGCTTGTAGTGTCAAAATCTCCCATTCCGTATGAAAGTGATGTTTTTGTCTTTTTTTAAAAATCATGCTATGGTCCTTGTTATGTTCTTCTTTTTTAATCATCTTATTGGGGGTTCGTACAATGCTTATCACAATCCACACCATTTTTTGTCTTTTTAAAAATCATTTTATTAGGGGCTCATACAACTCTTATCACAGTCCATAAATACATCAGTTGTGTAAAGCACATTTGTACATTCATTGCCCGTATCATTCTCAATACATTTGCTCTCCACCTAAGCCCCTGGCATCATTTTTGTCTTCTTACTTGGTCCAGCTCCCCACTCATTTTAATACCCTTTCTTAGGTGTAAGAGAAAAAAAACAAGGTCTAAAAATTGGCGATAACTTAGCTTGTCAGTTTTGCTGCACTTTGCGCAGTTGTTTGCGCATGCATTTGACACCTAAGATTGCATCTGATTGGCTGCGCTGTATATCACTTAAGTGACGGGATTGATGATAGGCTTACGTCTATTTATTATTTTTTTTTATGAAGTTGAGAAAGGTTTTATTAAGGCAAGGAAACGTGTCTTTTTTTAATGCCATGTGATCTACCCACGCTACATTTGCGATCGACTAGTAGATCGCGATCGACCCCTGCCTTAGGGATTTTGCGCAGCAAGCGTCGTGGAGGTGGTTGCAACAGGCCTAGTCCTGAGCTTCAGGATTTGCTGTGCGAATAACGTCTGACTTCACTTCCTGATCGATGCTTCTCCTTTGCCTCTTGCCGCTGCCGGCGCTTGTTTTGCTGGGTTTGGGGAGCCAGGACGCGCTTCATGGGAATAATTTCTAAAGAAAATTAGAGAATGCTAGGACACTGAAGAGACGAACAAGACATGCTAGCTGCTGCTCACGGGTCAGAGCCTACACTGCTGTACAGCATGCATTTTAGACAAAGAACATAAAGAACGTACATAAGCCGGTAGCGTGGGCAAGTATTAAGACTTCCGACACACATGTATCGTAGGTTATAGAAGCACCGCCCCATTTCAGAGCTGGCGGCACACTCAGTCTGATTCTGTGTGACACGAGGTCACGTCGCACGCTCTCTGGTCAGGACTTGGGAGCTCTCCATACTTTATGGTGCCACAGACAGACAGGCGGCTGGCTGTTGCCTGGCGGACCGTAACGACTCCGTTGTTGCTGTTCTGTGTCCTGCCCCATCTCCACAGCCCTTCATTTGAAGTAGCTCTCATACT